GAATTCTTCTATTTTTCCCGAGTCCCTGGGGTCAAGACCTTTAATTTAAGACCCCTCCCACATTTCTGCGACTACCAGACGTCCACAGTTTTCTGGTAAAATTTTGTCTTACAGAATTGTATATAAGGTTTTAATATTAATTAAATTAAATACAGGGTGTCCGGTCATAAGTGTTAAATAGAATTTTGCATCAAACTACATGGTAATGGCGACATAATGACGCACATTTGAGGTTCCCGACCTCAAACGTTAGGGAATAACAAATAAAATAAGGTTTTCCAAAAATTATTGTAGTTGTTATGAAAAAGGTTATATTACTCTGTTAAAAATGCACTAATTGTTCATTTAAATGTCATTTTCAGAATCTTCACAAAATTTTAAATAGATATACAGTGGAACCTGGATAATTCGAACTTCTTTAATTCGAAATCTTCTTTAATTCGAATTTTTCCCGTGGTCCCTAGCATTTTGTATTAAAACAATGCTAAAATAACGTGGATAATTCGAATTTTATTTTGGATAATTCGAATTTTTAAGTGCCAAATCATTAAATTATTACTCTAAATATATTCAAAAATAATAAATAAAAAACATATTCCAAGCCACATTTGACGAAATGTTTGCGTTAGAACAAGTGCCAGCCCTCGCGCGCCTGCGTTTAGTCTGATGACTCATACCTCCCCTCCCGCCACCGCCCTACAGGTCATTGTACCCTACACTCCCTTCCCCTTTCTCCTCTCCCACCCACCACCACTGACCTCTTTTCAGTGTCGCATTGTGCGTGGTCTGTATCGGTTTGCGTGAAGGCAAACCTAACGTAGTTTTGCTGTTGTCTTAGACTTTTAGTTTCAAGTGATTACGTGTACAGTACTGTAGTTTTAACGTACCGTACTGCACTACTGTATACATTAACTTTTAGTGAGTGTAACTGTGTAGTGATCATGGCATCAACCTCATCGAAAAAACCAGGGTCTTATAAAACTTTGACATTAGCTGAAAAAGTCGCTGTGATCAAAGAAGTGGAAAAAGGAGTCAAGAAAAAATCTGAAATCGCGAAAGACTTTGGAATTCCACCCAACACCTTATCAACTTACTTAAAAAATAAACATAAAATTCTCAGCAGTGCAGAGGAATTTGATAAAGACAGGAAACGATCGCGAGAGCCAGGAAATCCGGATGTCGACAATTGTGTGCTTAAATGGTTCAAGCAGACCAGAGACAAGAAAGTTCCTGTGAGCGGTCCTTTGATTAGAATGAAGGCTGAGCAATTTGCTAAAGAATTAGGGAAGCAAAACTTTAAAGCTAGCACTGGGTGGCTGGATGGTTTTAAGGAGCGCAATAAAATTTTGTTTAAGGCAGTGTGTGGTGAAAGTGGGGCGGTGAACCTGCAGGAAGCTAATCAGTGGAAGAACGATCTGGAAGAGATGATCCAGGACAGAGACCCGAGAAATATTTTTAACGTTGACGAAACCGGTCTTTTTTTCAAATGCACGCCCGATAAAACACTTGCATTTAAGGACGAAAAGTGCCACGGGGGGAAATTAAGCAAGGAGAGAATCACGCTATTGGTTGGTGCTAATATGGATGGTTCGCAAAAGCTGCCTTTGTTGATGATTGGAAAATCGGCCAATCCTCGTTGCTTTAAAAATGTCAAGTCTAAGCCAGTAGAATATGTAAGCAGTTCTAAGGCTTGGATGACAAGTGACCTTTTTGCGAAGTGGCTAATGAAGTTGGACAAACGGTTTGTTAAAGAAAATCGACAGGTTCTCCTTTTCATTGACAATTGCACGGCACACAACACCATACCTGTCATGGAAAATGTCAAAGTGGTTTTTTTCCCAGCCAACATGACCTCTGTTGTCCAGCCCATGGATCAAGGGATCATAAAAAACTTGAAACACTTTTACAGGGGTTTGTTGGTCGAGAATATCCTGTCCGGGGAAGGAAACGCCCTCAAAATAAAGCTGGACATTTTAGAAGCATCGCGAATGTGCAAACAAGCGTGGGACAAAGTGAAGCCGGAAACAATAAAAAACTGCTTCAAAAAGGCAGGTTTTGTTAAAACCGACGAAGAAAGCGCCGAAGAAACTGTAACGGACGAAACTCTACCAATCGACGGCTGGGAGGATGTGGCACCCAATCAAACCATCTTGTACGAGGACTTTCTTAATGTAGACGAAAATGTCGCTGTGTGCGGTGAATTAACTGACGCCGACATCGTAGCAGAAGTCCTCGACACCGAGGAACAAAATGACGATGGATCGGGGGACGAGATCGTCGGGTCACCGGCCGATGAAGAAGAAACGCCAGTACCGAATGCAGCCGACGCCATGACCTACCTGAGAGAAATTCGGCGATTTGTGGAGAGCAGAAATGATGTCGGTGATGTACAGTTTAAATCATTAGATGTTTTAGAATCATTTATCATGGCCGAGAGATTAAACTCAAAGAAACAAGCCAAAATCTCTTCTTTTTTTGTAAAACAATAAATTAGATTTGATATGTTTTTTGTTTAACAATCAGTCAATACGGTCTCCAAACTTTTAGTTCTCTTTGGCCGATATTTTTCTATTTCTGTCCTGTTGTCCTGTATAGGGCCTATTTTGCTTAATATTTTGCTTTGGACTATTGGTAATCGTGTGAAGTTTGCGTGCAGTTCAGCTATTGCTGAGGACATTTTAAGGTTAGTTAATTTTAGTTTTGTACATAATTTCGTTGTCGTTTGAGCGATTGCAAGTTATTTTTATTGTATACTATTACTGTAATAGGCATTATTCAATAAATTAATGTTCAAATAGTATCAATAAAGTTAATAGTTTGAATTTAAAACGTGTTTTTATTGTTTACGGCCCTGGTTATAAGAACTTATTTAATTCGAATTTTTGGATAATTCGAAGTTTTTAGCTGGTCCCTTGAGGTTCGAATTATCCAAGTTCCACTGTAACACATAACCGTTAGGGTACGGAAAATATTCTACTTAAATTTCTTCCTTAAACAATTATTTTTAATATCAACAAAAATTTAAATAACATTCAGCAATTTATTTCTCAGTTACCGAGTTCCGCTGAGTTAAACAAATATTACTAAAAACTTCCTTATTTAAAGGGCTTTACAATGGTGCATAAAAAAATAAAAAAATAAGGCATTTTTTTACACACATTATGGTCATTTATTGTAGTTTATTAACTAAAATTATTGTTGTTGTTATGGAAAAGGTTATATTACTAATACAACCTTTTTCATAACAACTACAATAATTTTTGGAAAACCTTAATTTATTTGTAATTCCCTAACAGTTGAGGTTGGGAACCTCAAATGTGCGTCATTATGTCGCCATTACCATGTAGTTTGATGCAAAATTTTATTTAACACTTATGACCGGACACCCTGTATAGTAAGTAATATTCACACCAGCTGGGTTAGTAGATATTTTACAATAAAAACTAATTATACTTTTTGAAATCCCAATGTAATTCTTATGAGGATATTTTACATTATATCAAATTTTTGTGAAATTGAAATTTCACTATTTCACCCACCGTAAGGGTACCAATACCTTTAATTTGAGACATCTACCATAATCGTAGGGCTTGTCAAACTCGAGATATTTAGTGCTGAAAGATTCCCTTGCGGTATTAAATATACTGTATAATGTATATAATAAATTTAAAATTTTTTGTAATAACTAAGTGTATCAATTAATCACGCCAAATATAATGCAATATGACCTTGAACGTATAGAAGGTAGAATAAGGCATTGAAGAAATATACAACACATAGCATAATAAAATTAATGCATGTGATTCATAGTCGTTAGTTGTTGAATATACCTACTGTAGTTCAACTTCTAGTAGCACATTGTGCATTACTTACCATAAATAATTGAGTGGTTGTGTAATGCAAATATATAACATCTATATTTCCAAGAATATAGATATTGCCATCATACAATATCATATGTATTTTCCTAATCTAATTGGAAACTAGTTTTCTTTGTCTCCACTAATTTGAGAGATCGGCTGGGTGTAGATACTTGGTATGTGTCCAAAGAAAGGTTGGTCTGTAGATGAGCCAACAAAAGAGAAACGAGCCAATGCCCCAGAGGCCTTAATAGTGTTGTTAACATTATGAGCATATGGTATATTACACTATCTTAATCTAAAATTAAATAGTTGTTAATATTAAAACTGTACTAGCAGTTACCCATCACGCATTGCTGCACTTAACAACTATTAATTTAAATGATAAATAACAACAATAGGGATACCGATTGACAATAACTAAATAAATATGTTATTTTTTTACTTTGTGTGAAAAGCATACATTTTCTAAAATTAAACCTGGGATAGGCAGGGATGCCCTTGTGCCTTATTAATGGTAATTTCAAAAACAAGAACCAAAGGAAATTGTAGTTGCTTTAATTCAAAGGGTGATTCAAATGAAATCATCAGTATTCTTTGGATTGGATTAAGACTATATCTCCTTTGCACTTACCGCTGATGATTTTTGCTTCGGTCAAGATTAGTGTAATTTTTTAATGCCAAGTCATTTTGAAGACAGTACGATGTTGCTCAATTGGTTAGTTCAGTGATCTCTGAGTAGTGTCCATGAGTTGTATCCTTCATAATAATCAATGTTGTATCATCAGCAATCAGCATTCATGATCGGCTTGGCATTCTCATTATCAGTGAAGTCTGTGAAAACGACGATTGTAACTCCCAGTTTTATTACAAGGTTTAGGATTCTTTTACAACTATGATCCCATGGATATAGAAGATAAGCTAGAAGTCATTAGGAAGAAAGGTGAAAATTTCTGTATATTATTTAAAAAAAATAAGTTTAATATTATTTTTCCTTTTTATAACTATTTTTTACACATTTGTATTCATGAGGACATCTTGAACTGCCTATGGCATCTAGTTTTTAACCAAACAAAACTGCATATATTTCTTAGCAATCTAAGAGTCTTTTGCTATTATTCTTTCGTTTTTTTTTTTCAGGAGCCGTTTATCAACCACTTGGAATCAAGATGGACTCCAGCTAAGGTGGTGAAGAAGCCAGCCCCTCCAGGACAACTGTGGTGGGTTCCTGTAGTAGTCCTGAAGGAACCTGACACCGAGGACACTTCAAGCCTCAACATTTCCTCTACTCCAACATCCTGGCTAAAACCTGACCTCCACCAGTTGACCCTACAGGGCTATACTGAGGACAACAAGTACATCATTGTTAACCCTGGCACCATCGGTAACTTTACTTTAAGATTTGAATAGAATTGACAACTCTAATGCTTCTTTCACACAATACAGTTTTGCCATCCAGTTAAAATAGTTCAGGAAAATTTTTCTTGCAGTGTGTAGAAGATGGTGTGTGGACATGTGAGCTTGCACACTGCAAGGTTTTTAGTCAGACGTTGGCCTGTCAGCCTCTTGTCAATTGAACACTGTTTATTGAGCTTTGGGATTTACACAATAACGACTGAACATATTTCAGCCAAACTTACCGAGGGTGTTTCGGTGAGGTTTGTGAAGAAACAAATTTCAAACCTATACAATTTAAAACAAACTGAAAAATTAGTTTGAGAACTTCTGCAGCTAAACTGCTTGATGTGAGTTATCCATGTGAATTTAAACATAATTTATGTAACATACAACATAATTATAGCTGTCCCTCAATAATTTAACAGGTATGGGACTGGGGTCGTGTAAAATAACCAAAATTTTTGGATTATCAAAATTGGCCATTGCAAAATTTAAATTCATATTTAAAATAATTTATCACATTTCAAGATGGCGGCTGAAAAAATTAATCCGTCATAACCAACTGGAAATAGGTAGACAATGACTGGTGGTGTATACTTATCTTTTTCAGCACAATTTTGAGATTATAGTCTTATTCTGTAAATGCACAATAGCCTAAAAATAAAGTTTTAAAAAGCCCTCATAACTTTGGAATGGATCCCCCTGTATAAATGGGATTTAAAATAAACAATTTAAATTAGCTGTTTTAACTAATTTTTTATTGCCAAATCAATGTTTTTCTAAATCTGCTGTTGAAAATATTTGGTCTTAAGCGGCACAAGTAAACTTGTCATCCTCAACCAACTCATAATTTTAATTAATTAATTAATTCTATTCCATCTATAGAGGTTTATTTTTTACTTCATAATCATGAAATATGATCAACTGCCTTTCACTGCGCTGAATTCAACTCAAGTGATATTGTGACTGTTGTGTGTATTAATTTTATTTTTTTTTTAATTTTTTAATTTTTTTTTCTTTAATTTTATTTTAGTATTGTTAGCTATGTCTAATCACTGAGAATAAGATACAGAATTATACACTAAGTGGTGTCTAGCACCAGTCTCTGGTGTCTAGAGCATGTTCTATTCATCGTCCCCTTCCGCTCTCCTTTCCCCCTCGCCATCACATACTACAGCGCTCAGGCAGTAGGAAGACCCTGTGCACTACAACTAACTGCCATACAAAAATGCTTTGTGCCCATTGCCGTTCGGGCTCTTCCTTGCTCGGTAAAAGTACATTTCCACCCAACCACATCCGAGCTAAAAGCGTACGGTTGCCCCATAAGCTTGAACCTTCTGTACCTTACTTCTCTGTGATCTAATATAGACCCAAGAGTAAATATTGAATTTCGTTCTAAGTATAATTACTGTTATTTTTGCAATGCGAAGTGACTCATACTTAAACTGACCATGTACAGTGAAGATTTTTATCTTCTAAAATGAATCATGGCTGTCTCATCCTGCTGCTACTTTAGCATAATCCTGATACTGTGCCTCTTTTTATTGCTCTTTAACATTTTATCTAGGTTTAATGTTTTCACTGAATCGTAGAGTGCCATGCAAAACAAGATATGATAATACACATTCACAAAATGGATATTCTTTCTGATTTTTTAAGGTTTTAAAGTCTTTACTGTTCAAGGCAGGATCATATTGGTGTAGGCTAGTGCTAAAGTGTCCTGAGGTCCTGCGTACGAATCCCACCAATCACAGGGTGTAGGATCATGATTCAGGCTGTAATCCTCTTAATCACGGTCGGTTGACCAGTCAATTCTAGGTTGGCTCAAGAAGGGACAAATTGTTATCACTACCACTGTCGCTGTCAAAACGTATAGTTTGTAGGTTAAATTTAAATTTAATTTAATTTAACCATCATAACCTAACCAAACTAACCAAACTTGCTGACAATGAAAAATCGAATGAAGGTTTACTAATTGAAAAAATTGTTCTGTTCATAGAATAAAATTACAAATGCCTCCCCTCCGGTGCGATTCAGAATTCTCGATTCCGCACCCCTCCTCCGGTGACCACTACCCTCAGGCCATAAATCAGGGGATTAACCCAAACAAAGATGTGGATCGTTGTCCGTCTCCCCCAATCACAAATGGATTTGATCAATTTTAAAAATTTTAATAGCGGTATCAGATTAAAGCCTAGAAAAAAAAACCAAATAAAACAGTAAAGCATTGACATTTTTATTTAGGTTTTTGATCTCATTTTTTATTCTATAGGACCTTTCCTGGTGAACTATGACCCAGAGAACTGGCGGCTGCTGAGTCAGCGAGTCACAGCTCTGCCTGACTCAGTGAGGACACAACTACTCCACGACTCGCTGACTCTAGCTCTGGCTGGTCAGGTGGACACTGCTACCGCTCTCAACATGACTCTGTTCCTCAAGAAGGAGCAAAGCGCTGTGGTCTGGAAGACGTTCTACCCTCTGGCTGATAGGTTGAGGAAACAGTTCCAGGGAACCTCTGCAGCTAAATTGCTCGATGTGAGTTATCCATGTGAAATTAAATATAATTTACCCAACACATAACATAATTATAGCTGTCCCTTGATAATCCAACAGGTATAGAACTGGGGTCGTGTAAAATAACCTAAAATTTTTGATTATCAAAATTAGTTTTTCTCAATATATTATATAAAATATTAAATAAAATTTTTAAATACAGTATTAATAACTGTTAAGTATCTGAGACTGTGTATGATGAAGTTAAAGTAACATACACAACAGAAGGTTTATTTTATTAAAACTAGGCAACACAATAACGGTGAATATTATTGTGCTAGGAGGGTTATTCAAGTTGCTGAGGGTTTAGTTTCTGCCAATAATACTAGTCACATTGGACTGTCAAGTACGTCAGCTCACCAAATGTCTAATAATCAAGGTACAGCAGTAACATGATTAATATAATGTTGATTTAACATGTTCAATTAACAAATCAAACAAATTTCTCGATTTTGCTTACTGTAAGAACGCTAAATAATGTATCAATACTATAGAGTAGTGTAGATTGTGTCAATTAGAGTGGCGAGCGAGATGCGCTTGCGCACAAAAACTTCTTCACATCACCGTCACTTTTGTTATTTGTACAGTTATCTCATTAATTATATCTCTGACGTTATTTTTATGAGGAGCAGCTTTGTTAAATAATCTTCTAAAAGTCCTTTGCTCTTAACCGATGACTTAGATTCACTTAACAATAGCACACAATTTGCTTTCTCTTTAACAGAAAACATGTTTTTGGATCAAGATTAAATATTTTGTTTGTGTTCCTGCAACTTGACGTCAACAGTGAAACAGCTATTCCAAGATGGTGTAACAAAACTATTAGAGCCAAATGATTCAGTGATACCAACCTCATTTTTTCTACCTCACCTAATCATTTTTGTGTATGCATTCAAAACTGCACCATTCATTTAGGAAATCCCTGTATATCATTTTTGAGTAAATTCCTTAATTCATTAAAATATGTTTCTTATTTTATGTGACAAGGGAAATTTTTTTTTTATCTTTGGCCTGCATTGAAAGATTTTTTCATAACATACAAGCCTATGAAGCTCAGTAACCCCTTTTCCCCCCTAAGGTTATAAGAGTGGTTTATTATTACAGATTTTGCACTTAAATCTAGGTTATTAACAATAAGCATAGCTTCATAAATATATTGACCTTATACTGTGTGAATTTTTAAATTTTGTCAGTGTCCTTTGGCTGAATCATTCCCTTATACTTAAGCATTATCCTGATAACTATTTTGCTGTTTCAAAATGCAACCCATACTAATTTGTTCTGTTGAAATATAATATAATGCTGTAAAAAACAGTATATGGGAATGTTTCCATTAGCAATATGTATATTTTATTTTTTAGCATGTTCAAATAACAATACAATATAAAGGCATTTATGATAAAGCATAAACATAAATTCAAACTTAGATATTCAGTAGAATTTTTTGTAGATGCTCATTCTAATTTAGGTACAGGTACATATCTATCGTTCGACCTAGAAAATTGATCCTACTTTCCTTGTAGATGTTTTTATATACTAATGTTGGATTTAGTTTTTCTCTTAAATTGTTAGTGTAAACTCACTTTCAAGCAATGCTGCTTTAAATGCTTTAAGGTGAATTTTAATGTGTGTTTGTAATTCCTAGGAATACATAGTGGCACTAGTCACTCCAGTTCTGGAAGCTCTTGGGGAAGAAACTGACAAGAGTCCTATTTGGAGGACGGATTTCCGTACCAAGACTCGTCACTTGTTGTGTGCCGCTGGACACCCGACGTGTGTGGAGCACGCTCAGGCTCACTACGCCAAGTGGATCAGTAGTCAATCTCCTGATAGTGGCATGCCGTGAGTTAGACCTTCTACTCTGTTCTGAGTACACTTAAACCCTCGAGCAGGCACTTAACCTCTAAAATGTGAGAGGGTGCATGCGGAAAATTTCCACATCACAAAATCATACAAATTTATTAAATTTCATTTGATTCTATCACAAAGTTTTGTAGATAAATTCTAACTAAAGTGAAAAGGAAGCGATTTATTTTAAAATCTAAATTGTACAACTATTTGTGAGTAAAATTTCAATACCCATAATGAGTTTTTAAATAATGTAGTGGTTTTTAAGGCCGTTGTTATGAGAGAGGAGTGTGTGAAGAATGTATCTGCAATAAAGCAATTATACCTTAGTAGAAAAAAATTATTTTATGATAAAATAATCATGTAACTGGATAGTTGTACAGTGGAACTTGGATAATTCGAACCTCAAGGGACCAGCTAAAAACTTCGAATTATCCAAAAATTCGAATTAAATAAGTTCTTATAACCAGGGCCGTAAACAATAAAAACACGTTTTAAATTCAAACTATTAACTTTATTGATACTATTTGAACATTAATTTATTGAATAATGCCTATTACAGTAATAGTATACAATAAAAATAACTTGCAATCGCTCAAACGACAACGAAATTATGTACAAAACTAAAATTAACTAACCTTAAAATGTCCTCAGCAATAGCTGAACTGCACGCAAACTTCACACGATTACCAATAGTCCAAAGCAAAATATTAAGCAAAATAGGCCCTATACAGGACAACAGGACAGAAATAGAAAAATATCGGCCAAAGAGAACTAAAAGTTTGGAGACCGTATTGACTGATTGTTAAACAAAAAACATATCAAATCTAATTTATTGTTTTACAAAAAAAGAAGAGATTTTGGCTTGTTTCTTTGAGTTTAATCTCTCGGCCATGATAAATGATTCTAAAACATCTAATGATTTAAACTGTACATCACCGACATCATTTCTGCTCTCCACAAATCGCCGAATTTCTCTCAGGTAGGTCATGGCGTCGGCTGCATTCGGTACTGGCGTTTCTTCTTCATCGGCCGGTGACCCGACGATCTCGTCCCCCGATCCATCGTCATTTTGTTCCTCGGTGTCGAGGACTTCTGCTACGATGTCGGCGTCAGTTAATTCACCGCACACAGCGACATTTTCGTCTACATTAAGAAAGTCCTCGTACAAGATGGTTTGATTGGGTGCCACATCCTCCCAGCCGTCGATTGGTAGAGTTTCGTCCGTTACAGTTTCTTCGGCGCTTTCTTCGTCGGTTTTAACAAAACCTGCCTTTTTGAAGCAGTTTTTTATTGTTTCCGGCTTCACTTTGTCCCACGCTTGTTTGCACATTCGCGATGCTTCTAAAATGTCCAGCTTTATTTTGAGGGCGTTTCCTTCCCCGGACAGGATATTCTCGACCAACAAACCCCTGTAAAAGTGTTTCAAGTTTTTTATGATCCCTTGATCCATGGGCTGGACAACAGAGGTCATGTTGGCTGGGAAAAAAACCACTTTGACATTTTCCATGACAGGTATGGTGTTGTGTGCCGTGCAATTGTCAATGAAAAGGAGAACCTGTCGATTTTCTTTAACAAACCGTTTGTCCAACTTCATTAGCCACTTCGCAAAAAGGTCACTTGTCATCCAAGCCTTAGAACTGCTTACATATTCTACTGGCTTAGACTTGACATTTTTAAAGCAACGAGGATTGGCCGATTTTCCAATCATCAACAAAGGCAGCTTTTGCGAACCATCCATATTAGCACCAACCAATAGCGTGATTCTCTCCTTGCTTAATTTCCCCCCGTGGCACTTTTCGTCCTTAAATGCAAGTGTTTTATCGGGCGTGCATTTGAAAAAAAGACCGGTTTCGTCAACGTTAAAAATATTTCTCGGGTCTCTGTCCTGGATCATCTCTTCCAGATCGTTCTTCCACTGATTAGCTTCCTGCAGGTTCACCGCCCCACTTTCACCACACACTGCCTTAAACAAAATTTTATTGCGCTCCTTAAAACCATTCAGCCACCCAGTGCTAGCTTTAAAGTTTTGCTTCCCTAATTCTTTAGCAAATTGCTCAGCCTTCATTCTAATCAAAGGACCGCTCACAGGAACTTTCTTGTCTCTGGTCTGCTTGAACCATTTAAGCACACAATTGTCGACATCCGGATTTCCTGGCTCTCGCGATCGTTTCCTGTCTTTATCAAATTCCTCTGCACTGCTGAGAATTTTATGTTTATTTTTTAAGTAAGTTGATAAGGTGTTGGGTGGAATTCCAAAGTCTTTCGCGATTTCAGATTTTTTCTTGACTCCTTTTTCCACTTCTTTGATCACAGCGACTTTTTCAGCTAATGTCAAAGTTTTATAAGACCCTGGTTTTTTCGATGAGGTTGATGCCATGATCACTACACAGTTACACTCACTAAAAGTTAATGTATACAGTAGTGCAGTACGGTACGTTAAAACTACAGTACTGTACACGTAATCACTTGAAACTAAAAGTCTAAGACAACAGCAAAACTACGTTAGGTAACGGCCTTCACGCAAACCGATACAGACCACGCACAATGCGACACTGAAAAGAGGTCAGTGGTGGTGGGTGGGAGAGGAGAAAGGGGAAGGGAGTGTAGGGTACAATGACCTGTAGGGCGGTGGCGGGAGGGGAGGTATGAGTCATCAGACTAAACGCAGGCGCGCGAGGGCTGGCACTTGTTCTAACGCAAACATTTCGTCAAATGTGGCTTGGAATATGTTTTTTATTTATTATTTTTGAATATATTTAGAGTAATAATTTAATGATTTGGCACTTAAAAATTCGAATTATCCAAAATAAAATTCGAATTATCCACGTTATTTTAGCATTGTTTTAATACAAAATGCTAGGGACCACGGGAAAAATTCGAATTAAAGAAGATTTCGAATTAAAGAAGTTCGAATTATCCAGGTTCCACTGTATTTCAGGATATTTGTACATTCTGTTAAAACAAAAGTTATAAGCAAAACAGTTCTATGCAATATTTGTAAGAAATAAAACAAAAACCTAGACAAGGCGCACACATAGAAAACCTCCCCAACGTAATCACACTCACTTTCTCGCATCTCAGATTGAACCTAGGGGAAGGGCGGGTGTAAACATTGTTTTGGAAAAATCCAGGAATGTGGTGTGTCAAGTAAAGAGCTGAACATGACTGACGACACCAATAAGTAGATTTTTTGGGGAAAAAATCTTAAAAGTGAGAGCTGCACAAGTGCCCTATCGAAGATTATATATTTTTTGCTATATGAGATTCAAGAACTTGAATTATATTAAATTACCTTTTTGTTACCTGTGTTTTTGAGCTAGAACTTTGTGCATCGCCCTATGTAGTACAGTAAATGCATTTGGCCTGCTTGTGTGGTATATTCAGGGGGTCTTCTTAACCTATCTCTTTTCACTAACAGTACTAACATTTACAAATGTTATCTATATTTACACTTTTCACTGGTATCGGTCACATGAACTATAACTTTTTAATTAAAATTTCATAAATTTATCACTCGCTGGTATATAAGTTTTGCAGACTATTTCATCTCCACCTGTAGAGTAATAAAAGTCGAATAGTTTGCACAGTCAACTTAAAAATTGAGAAAAGTAATGTCAAATATTTGTTCAGGCTAGCAGGCAGCCTTCTATGCTCAGTGTTTTCCCACGGGACTCCGGAAGAATGGGAATTTGGAATCCAAAGATTGCTCAACTTCCCCACAAACAGGTCTAGCCAGGAGCGAACGTTCCTGCTCAAGTCTTTGGCGGGATGTTCACGAGAACCGGACCAGTATGAAAGGTATGTAACTGGAATTCTACAATTGGCTAGTTTAGTGATGTCCATATAGAGTTTTAATGGGGAAATTATGGTTTATTGTAATTTTGATATTGTCCAACAATCCTTTGCAGTTAGTGCGAACTATAGCTTTTGCCGTTTAGTCAATAGGAGCACATCATCAGGTTCAAACCCTCTAATTGCCTCATTTCTCAAAGTCGAGTTCAACACGGTGGTCAAGCATTACACATAATAAAAAATAAACACGTAGACATAATGTAAATTATGAACACCTTAAAATTAATCATTTGATTAATTCGAACCCTAATTATACAGGCATCAGTAATAATTTGAAGATAATTCATTTTTGTAATGAAGATAAGTACAGGACATTGTAGGAGAGTTGCATAAAATAAATATATAGAATATAATTAATATATAGAAATATATGAGTAGCAGAAGAACATCCGTACTAGAATGAAAAATAATCGTCTGAATCTAAAATTTACAACTCGGAAACTAAATCATACATAACCAACTACAAATAAAAGGAACAGATAGGGAGAGAGAGGGCAGGTATTTAACGGAGGGTAGTCCTGACTTGCCTTTCATTGGAACCGCATCACATTTAATATATTTAATATCTGTTATGTTCACCATCATGACAACCTTGACTTGAGAGATGAGGAAACTTGATTTTTATTTGATGATGTACTCATATGCGTATGAAACAACTGTAGCTGCGCACTTACTACTAAGGATCGAACATAGCGTGCTCTATAGGTCTAGTATATTAATTTGTGGAACACCCTGTATATAGTCTATGTACTATTAACGTGTAGTGTCAAATTTTGGGTCTATTGTGCAAAAGTTGGTTCTTTGTCATTCAGATAATATTCATAAAAAAACCCTTAAAAAACATTTGATCTTATACTCCTTGGTATAAATAACCTCAACATTAATGTTTCAGCGATTAAAAATTAAATTTCATAATTAATTATTCAATGGTTCATCCTCTGTTTCGCTGTTTTTTTACAGAGTTCTGAATGTAACTCTTCTACAAGATGTGACAAACCAAACATTCTCTGAAGCAGATAAGTTTGCTACGCTCACCGCTATGTCCGAAGATGTCACCGGCTGCACAGCTCTTTTCAATTTCCTCTCTGAAAACTGGAAAATCCTGAAGAAACGGTGAGCTCATTTTTTCCATTTGGTAAAACTTCCATTCAAATGACCATTGTAAACCTGTCCAGTTTTTGAATATAATTTAATTTATTGTTGGCATTATGTGCTGATTGCTGGAGACAGCAATCGATGCCGTTCTGACATCAGGTCTCATTAAGTGGCGTGTAAATTTGTTAAAGGGGGCCACAATATATCTGAGCGGTGAGCAAAGCGGTGCTGCTCGCGTTTTTGTAAACCATGCTGTGGTGTTTTAAACCTGTCTTCTTATTAACACGTTCGCGGCGGCATGGGAGCGCGATCGCTCCCACACGGAACTCTAATGCCATCCTGGTGGGTGCGTCCGCTCCCAAGCTGCAATGCTGTACGAAATGATTTATTTTTAAGCCAGGATTAGAGCTAGAAACTTGAAACCTCGCACAGCACTGCTCAATAGTATACTGTATTTTGATGTGGTGTAGGTTGGTAGTAAATTTCCCCGAAAATCCCCATCTGGCAGTCTCAAAAATCTACTTTTTGTCCCGCCTTTTTCCCTCTATTTGGCAATACAATTCCAATGGGACCGGCTATGTTCCAAGCAGTGCTCCTATCTGTGACTGTTTAGCGAACTACATCGACTCTTGTTGTAAAGCAGGACATCCTCGCACGTTATTTGCTATTCGTCAGACCGAAATTGGAAAGCCAGTCACACGCGGCAATCAGGTTTGTTTGACGCTGCGGGCTGCGCCGCACTGGGGATGCGCCCGCCTTTTGACGTGCCGCCGCGAACGTGTTAATACTCCATCTCGGGGAGCGAGCTGGTTAAGTGATAGAGCGCAGGGCTTTAGTACCCGAGGTCCCGGATTCAGATCCCACCAATCATCAATGGGTTTTATTTATGTGATAATGGTGTAACCCTCTAGTACTAGCCTGAAGTAATGTATAAAACAGTTTCGTGCTACAACTTCTTTGGATGTGAACGGACATAAAAAAATCTCAATCTGCTCAGAATATAGTCAAAAGTAAGGATCGCATAGACATCCTCATGTACTCAAAGAACATATTGCTGTCTTCCCTAAGCTACAGAATTAGATGGTGGTAATACTTAGACAATCTTCTTTTGTTAATTGGTTGTACCCCCATTGTCTCCTACGCCTCTTATTTATGAAAACTATAGACAATTGTTATATAATAAAAATAGATGCAGTACAAAATGCCACTTGTATCGTAGCCACCACCGCCGCTTACGTGTTCAGGTTTATGCCCGACGCTTGTATCCTATCTGAGGAATATCGATTTCACAGTTAGTAAAAAAAGAATTTTTACTTAAGTGCAAGTTTACAATTTATTGTGAGATTCATTGAAGTATAATTATCCTAAAAAAAGTACAATGGCTTGAAATTGAATTGATAGGTTCATCATTCAATCAAATAATTGTCATTTGAATACTGAAGTAGATATAGTCTATTTATATTTATTCCAGATCATTGCTGATTTTAAAATTAAAATAGAGCACGGTTGAATGTGTCAGTAACTGAGTTTGCTAGTACTAAAATTAAATTTTCTCCATTGTATTTTATGCTTGAATATTTTATGTGACATCAAGTTGCTATAGGCTACAATTAGTTTCAGTTCGACAAAAAAAAAATAGTTATTGACATCAGTGCAATTGGATCAATAATTTGATGTTAATTTTTACTTATACATTCTAGAATCAGACTAGACCTTAGATAAGGATTTGACTTGTTATATTGTAAATAATGTGTGTATTTTTTTTAAATTAACGTTTACCAATTTGTTCAACAGCTTGTCACCAAACTTATGGGAATACCTAATTCAGGTCGCATTAGGTCGCTTCCGCACTCAAGAAGGCTTGGTTTTGGTAAGTTTTGAGAAGGTATTGAATATTGATAATCTATACTATTATAAAGAAGAGGTTCTGTGTGTCTGTGTGTTTCTATGAGCTAACTCAAAAAATAAAAGGACTGGGCTAAAAATTGGACAAAAATAAAGCTACTGCTCCAAGGATACAGAACTATTCCCGCTTCAGTGTAGACCTAGGACTCTGCCCCGCAGGCTTTTAAAAATCCGAGGTGAGAGTTTTAAAAGTAAATATTGATTGATATTGTTTCATGGTAACAAAGAACAAGCCCAAGTTTAAAGTTTATGAAATTTAAAAGTAAACAAGCAGAACTGTCAGATAAATTTTGCTTTCACATTTCCATACAGTGGCGATGATAGCGGGCCCAAGGCCTGCGAGCTAGAGGGGACTGTGAGCCTGGACTGGGATTTTTTGGGAAATTTTACTGGGACATGGGCCCGTGATTGTGCGATAGGCTCAGCCACGTGGGCCCCCTATCATAACAATATTTTTATGAAAATTACCATATGATTTTTAAGTAAAAATTTGTTAAAACAAGTAAGAGCACTAGGACAAGTAGTTATCATGACAAGCGGGTCTTGTCGTACCATAGCATAGTCTTTTTACATGTGACAAATAAGGCTTGTCGAACCGCCTCGAAGGGTCTAAATGTTGTGCGTTCCAGCAGATTGGTAGTGGTCACAGAAAAGTCTACCCATAATGTAACATCTGATCTCACATAATCCTCATTCTCATAAACGACTTACCATTTCATGTTGATTTCTTTTCGCTGATGACACTACCTGGTTGTTAGTGATAGGAACCTCAACAAAGTCATTGAAGGTATAAAGTTGGAATTTCATGAGGCATCCAAGTGGTTTTGTGCAAATAGGTTATCAATAAATGTAAATAAAACCTGAGAAATGTTTTATCGTTACTATATTTAGATCGAAGTACTGACTAGCACTAAAGTGGGGGATTGGTGGTGTTCACCCTTGACCCTAAGTTAACTTGGAATGATCATGTTGACAATAGAGATCAGCCAGAACACTTCACCTACTTACAAAATTATAACTACTTTAAATATATCCTCCGATTATGATAGCATATTTTACCTTTTTCAATAGTCATAGGTCCTATGAGGTCAAGCTGTGGGGCTATTCACCTTTTATGAAAAATGTCCTAACCCTACCAAAAACACTCTCAGGATTCTAGCTGGTGTAAGCCCCCGGGAATCGGAAGACGGTCAGAGGGTCCCACCCTCAAAACCTACCTAAAAATCCTTTGCCTGTTTTGGTGAGCGTAGCCGGAGGGCCCCAGGTCGACCCCTCAGTAATCCTGGGACCCTCTGGCTGCAGTCGCCTGAAGGGGATTAGGTTCGGGTTTGACAAAGGTTGACAAGGGGTAGCCTATTTCTATCTTTCACGATCAGCATAGTAAATTTAGTCACTATTTAACCAAGTAAAGTGAGTGATAAGCATGGGTGCTTTTAGAGAGATTTTCAAGTGTATACATGAAATGAAATGAAATGAAATGAAAATGAAATGAAATGAAAATTCCTTTATTTTTTCAGGCAAAGTTAGGGCCACATGGCCCTTTCATACACTTAACCTGACATTAAAAATATAACATAAATAATGTAACATAGGGATAACTTAATCTAATTAAACATAAAATATTTAACAATTCAAGTACCTACATATCTAAAAAAAACATAAAAATTTAACAAATAGAAAAACACATTCACACACTCTCGCATACACGCATCAGCAAACGCGCAAGGTAACAGTAGCCCTAGGACACGCCAGCCGAGACCATTCAAGGGTCTTAATGCGTAGGGGTAGGCCGTTCCACAGACGACAAGCGGTAACAACAAAAGCCCTGCCATAAGCTGTGGTCACATGATGAGGTATACGCAATGTAATCGAAGAATAACGAGACATTCGTGAACTACCCTGAGACACAAATTTAAAATCGGATTTGAAATATTTTGGGGAGCCTGTTTTCAAAATTGAAAAAACCAATGACAAAATTTTAATGAATTTTTGATCATTTAATTTCAGGATGTGTGCCTCAAGGTAGTATGGCGTGATATGCTCCATACGTCGCAGACCATAGACAAATCTCAAACAATAATTCTGTGACCGCTGGAGCATACCCGCCTGAGTCGCAGTCAAGTCATTGATCAATGAGTTGCAGTAACTGAAGTGGGGTAGTACAAGTGATTTGATCAAATGTAGTTTAGTGTGTTGTGGTAAAAAATTCTGTAATCTTTTCAATGAATGTATGGAGGCAAAAACCTTTTTTCGTGTGTCCGTAACTGCTATGTCCCAAGTAAGTGAAGAGTTGAAAGATATACCAAGATTCTTGACATTGTCGTAGTATGGAAGTGCTTTGCCATTAACTGTGATTGGGTTTATGGAGTCTAAGTCAATTGAAGGTCGAAGTCGAGAATGGCTAATGACAATCGGTTTCGTCTTTTCGTGATTTAGTCTCAGTCCATGATTCTCAGTCCAAGTAACAATTCGGTTGACATCTTCATTGATCCTTCTGACACAGTCGTTTTCGTTGTTTGCAGTAAAATGGTCATAGATTTGTAAGTCGTCAGCGTACATGTGGTGTTTACAGTCGACCAAGGTCGAGTTTATGTCATTGACGTACAGTACGAAGAGCAGAGGCCCAAGGATTGACCCTTGAGGCATACCGCATGTAACAGTCACCCAGTCTGATCTCGTGTCACCAATCTCCACACATTGCTGCCTATCTGACAGATAAGATCTCAGCCATTTAAGAGAATTCTGGGAAAACCCTATGGCCCGTAATTTCTTAACCAGCAGGTCATGATTAACACAGTCAAATGCTTTAGAAAAATCAAATAGAGTTAGAATCGTTCCTTGTCGACGCTCCATAGCAAGTTTTATGTCTTCAGTCACTCGAAGGAGTGCTGTCTCTGTACTGTGTGCTGTCCTAAAACCAGATTGATAGTCAGATAAAATGTTGTTTTCTGTGATGAATTCAGTGATTTGACAGTGAACGATTCTTTCTAGGCCTTTAGATAGAGCGGGCAAAATACTTATCGGCCTGAAATCCCCAACCAAGGTTGGGGCTGAGATCTTTTTTAGGGGACGGATAATGGCAGACTTCCAAGAAGAAGGGAAAGAATGGTGCCTTAAAGATGCATTAAAAATGAACGTGATAGTTGGAAGGATGGCATAGAGGATGTCTTTGATGAAACGAATAGGGATACCATCAGAACCGACAGCATTGCTTCGGATTCTGCGGATAGCCATCAAAACATTGGACTGAATAACTGGTTTAAAATTAAACTCAGGATATCTCAGGTGTGGGGTTGGAGAGTTAACTAGTTCATTTAAGTAACTGTACACTTGATGCTGGTTGGTATTTTGACTGCAAGAAGAAAAGTAAACGTTTAATTCATTTAGAGGAATGTGTACCGGTTGAGAATCAAATTGTTTCCCTAGCCCAAGACTTTTAACCTTGCGCCATAAAACATTTGATGGTTGCTTTTGATTTTCAAAAAGTTTCTGAATGTATCTGAGTTTTGAATTTCGTAGAAGCTGTTTAACTCGATTACGATGATTCCGATATTGTTGTTTTAGTTCTAAATTGCTGGAGCGTCTAGCCTTTCTAAATAAGCTATCACGTTGAGCCATCAGACTTTTACATACATGGGTAGTGGTGATAAGTCTATTTAAAGGTCTAATAACCCCAATAATTTTGGTGCAAATAAATATTATTTTTCTTTAACAGTATTTACAGAATGGGCCAAAACTTTTAAAAATGGACTTTGCAATTAAGTATCATATTACCTTAACTATTGAACGAAACAGCGCCAAATTTATTTTCAAGCATATTCTTGAGCAACTCTCTAAGACAACTTGTAGTAAAGGCATTTTTGGGTTATTTTCCAATTTACTTTAAGAATAAAAAGAGGTTGAAAACTCAACATTCTTAAATTTTATATCACGTTAAAGGACTTTTAAAACAAATATTTTATGTATTTAAGTTTTTCTTTGTAATATTTACTATTTACCTAATTTACTATTTAGTAATATTTACTATATATAGGTACCTATATAATATACATACCCTATGTAAACAAACAAAGTTGTACATACAAATTAGGCCGTAGCAATGATATCTCTTAACACTTCCTTTCTATATAATTTACGATACGAACATTGAAAAATAACACTGTTATTTCTCTTGTTTGTATTTAAACAATAAAACCGGTAGCCTTATTGTTAATTCAGGAACATACTGTCCGCTGTTAGCCATTTTTCAGGGAATTCCAGATCCTCATAGTTATTAATTTGTATATTCTAAAAAGTATCTGTAACATGAAGGAAAATATAAGTTATTATCAAACTCTAGGTTCAAGGGAACAGTATAATACTAGAAATAGTTCAAATCTTTATGTCCCTAGGTTCAGTTATTTCTGTACACAGAATAGACTTCCCACGTAATGTAAAAATTTGTAGCCAAAAAACGTGGTGCAATCTGTTGAGGTGGTCTACCAACTAATGACAATGTTCTGTGTCAAATGATTAATCAATCAGCTGTTTGCTATGATACTACATGTATTTCATTAATGTTTTACCCAATACCCAGTACCCTCTGGTGGGATGGTCTTGAACTTCATCTGTTTTCTTGGCTTCAAATTTTACATTGTTGGGAAGTATATTATGTGTGTAGTCATTGGTTCAGGCTACCAAAGCTTTAAAGTGCTGATCAATAACTGGTTTAAATATCTTTAATAGTCTATCAGCAAGCTTTGAGAAGCTTCCAAAAAATCTTGTCCAGCAGAGAATCAAGTCTTGTTGCACAATCCCTGCTATTCTGAGAAGAAGTTCTGCCCCACTATACAAAACTGTTCTATTAACTTTCACTATTTTCTGTGTTAGGTCTCTGAGATGGTGGAGGAGCGGAAAGGTCAGTTTGGCAATGCTGAGGCCACGGCTGAGGAAGCTGTAGAGACGGTGAAGGCCCAAGTTAAGTGGACAGAGGTCAACTCAGGGCCTGTTGAACTGTGGTTGAACCAGACTATGTCCAAGCCTTGGCCTCCTCAGAGGTAACTTACACTCCACATACCTCTAAGGGATTATTTTGTACACTTTTCATAACGATTAGTAAAATACCTCTGCTTCAGCAAACATGCCGAATAAGCAAGTTTCCATTTGCCTCACTGGATTTTCACTAAAATATTTTCTTAATAATGTCAGATTTTTCCTATTTCAAATTTATCAGTTTTAACTAGTACTTAGGTTTGCTGCTACAGGGTTTTTATCTTTTTATTTTAATGCTCAAAGTGGAATAAAAAAATAATATTTATTACCTAAAATTTACAAACTTCTATGTAAGGTATTAATTATATTTAAGGTTGTCAAAAAGATTTGGAAAATGTTCAGAAATTCTTGCAAAAGATGTCCAGAAAGATTCACAGATGTGCCTGTCATAATCACTTGTTACATTACTTTTCATTTGGACATTACTAACAACATTTTATTTGATTTAAACATGCTATCCTCTTATAATGTAAGGGAGATATGGGGTTTCTGCATATCACAGCTACGACCACACGCAAAATATATGAGCAGAATTAAATATAATGTTGAATGCCACATGCAGTGTGTTTTCCCGCAGTAGCGGAAGCGTATTCGTTTTAATGCTGCTCAAATCTTTTGCATGTTTTCACACTGTGTTCATATACAGGGTGTTTTTTTTTTTTAAACTTGCATCTTTATTTATGTAAAAACCGCAATAGATAGAAATATACAGTTGGCGGGAATCATCTATTGACGTAGGGGGCACAATTTTTTTGAATTCAACGTTACATTCACATTCCCCCCCTTTCCCCCCCTGCCCCCAACTTAATTTTTTTAAATAGCAAGGTACCCCTTGTGACATATCAAATGAAAGAGCATGAAAAAAGAAAATGTTTAATGAAAAAAAATTGAAAATCGGTTCATAAATTTGTGAGATATTCTCCCCCTCCTCCCCCGGAACTTAATTTTTTTTAATAGCAAGGTACCCCTTGTGACATATCAAATGAAAGAGCATGAAAAAAGAAAATTTTTGGTGAAAAAGAATTTAAAATCATGAATTTGTGAGATAATCCCCCCCCTTTTCCCCTACCCATAACTTGTTTTTTAATAGCAAGGTACCCTCCCTTGTGACATATCAAATGAAAAATAAATTTCACCAAACATTTTCCTTTTTCATGCTCTTTCATTTGATATGTCACAAGCGGTACCTTGCTATTAAAAAAATTAAGTTCCGGGGAGGGGGAGGGGGAAATATCTCGCAAATTTATGAACCGATTTTCAATTTTTTTTCATCAAACATTTTATTTTTTCATGCTCTTTCATTTGATATGTCACAAGGGGTACCTTGCTATTTAAAAAAAATAAGTTGGGGCAGGGGGGGAAAGGGGATGAATGTGAATGTAACGTAGAATTCAAAACAATCTACGTCAATAGATGATTCCCGCAAACTGCATATTTCTATCTATTGCGGTTTTTACATAAAAAAAGATGCAAGTTTTTAAAAAAACACCCTGTATATATTTATAAGGCATATATGCCTTATGTATGGTCTCTTGTACACTCGCATATGCTAGGGAATCTTAAGGTACATTCAACTATATGATTCTAAAATAATTTACCTTATTTTCCTGACATCTTGGAGTATCTCTAGCTTATAACTTCTACTATATCATTCTTGATCAATACACTTGTCTATTTTTGTAGAGTTGTCATAATTCATGCAATTAACTAAAAATAGCTCGCTCATGAACTCAGGAAAATTAGATTATTTGTTGAATATATTATGGTTCTTGAAACTTTGTAATACAATCAATGTATATCATTTTATTACTGACAAGTGGCAAAGTCTGTTATTTTGTAAGTCTGGTTATGAAAGTTATTTTTCCCTTTAATGTTTATTTGTACATAACCCCTCTAATGTTTGTTGTTGTTGCCATTAGCTGTTTGGGTTATTAATTAACAGCTGTGTCTAAGGAATATGCCAGCCTTAGTCACTAACAAGACTACAAGATTGCACCACTCATCCTATACTCATCTCCATTCATACTTGGCTTAAAATACCTACTTTGTATGGTCGCCATTTCATTGAAAAGTATTAAAAGTATTATGTTGTCAAGTATTCTGTCACAAATTCAAAGAGATTTAAATTATTAAACCGTATATTTTAGAAGATAATGGTCTTCGGGTGACGACAGTGCAGATGAAGTAGTTGTTGACTTTTCGGACAAGATGAATTAGTCCATTCTCAGGGTACTAACTTTTAACAATCCTTCAGTGACTGTTGTCACCCGAAAAGCAGGATCTACTACCTTTAGGAATCTATTGTGGAAGCTTTTAAGAACAAATGTTATAAGTATACTTAAAGAATATAGGTAATATACATTATTACAACTCCTTTCAGAAATTTAAACTTTGTTTTTGCTTGTGTTAACAACATTTTTGTATTAATTTCTGCATGTTCATTATGTTTTAGGTTCAAGTTTCAAGATATTCTTGTTCTGGCTCGAACTCGCAAGTTCGGTTAAGTTACTGACTACAACATCTCACTCACTGCTGATTATGTTAGTTGAGTAGTTTGTGTATTTATTTTTTCAAACTTTTGAATATTGATTTATATTTGTATATAGTGAGTGTTCATCTTTTATATTTTAAACTGTAAATATTCAATAAAAATCTTATTTGAAAAACGTCTTTACTTTTTGTTTTGTTTATATATCGATTTATATAGTCGACTGGATCACACTCGGCTGGTAAGCGAAAACGGCCCACCGCAACAGAGCGACCCACAGCATTTAAGTAGCATTGTGACTGTGGACATGTCATACTTTTAAACCTCTGTTTTGTTAGCTAAACGTTTTAAATTAATTTATTCCTTCCTGTTTAATATTGAAAATCTATCTATTTTTTGTGCATTCTTTAAAGTGTTATTAAAAAGAGAAAAAGACATATCACACACCTTTTAAATTGTATTTGTGCGTAGTCATGGATTTATAACAAAGTTTTGATTGGTTAGATGGTTCAAACGTTGACTTTATATTTTTATATTTTGTAACAATCATTGTTACAGCACTAAATTTTATGTGTATAGCTACTTAACATTGTACTTTAGAATAGTCCAAAATATATACTGTAATTAAAACAACATATGTAGTTGTGATTAAACTATAATTAATCTAATAAACAATACATCTTTTACATCTAAGAATGATAAGATTGATAAACATGACTAAAAATCTGTTTGTTTAGCTTCTACTAGGCGAGGCTGGACTCATGCCTTTTACAGTTTTTTCTTTGACACAAAGGCAATACAGCCCCATGGCAGCCACTTTGAAGCCAAAAAATATTTTGTAATCATTATTTTAATTTTGTTTTTGTAAATACATTATAACTTGGTTAAGTTAACTAGTATACCAAGTTTCAAAAAGATATCCATAATAGTTTTTTAAGGAATAAAATTAAAAATATAAATGGCGGAGATTTAACAAGGGTTTTTTTTTTTAAAGTTACTCTTGATTTTTGTTTTATTTTGACTAAATAAACCTATTCCTGATTTTTTACTTAACTTTCAGGACACACTGTATATTTTTAAAATAACATGCAGATAATTTTAATTACCATGAGTTCATGACAGTCCTCAATAATATCTATATTTTATTTGCGTCCTCGGAACACATTACGTACAAAAATTCTTGTTGCCAAAGCAACTATGTTGTAAGAATTCAGTATGTAGCCCAATTGGTTACAGCTATATTTATCAATAGCAATGTTAAACACGTCTGAAAAGGCTCTACTATGCTTCCTCTATTTACAAATTTAGTAGAGCTGAATTGCTTTTGTTATCAATCAATAAATTAGTACACTCTTCACTTTGTAATTTATTTATTCAAGTTTAAAAAGCAATGACACAAAATTGTTAGATGTAGAAGTTTTATTGTTTCAGTTTTTAATCAGTGCTAAACAAGGGTTTTTTTATCTGATATCCTATTCATTATTTTACATACATCATGCAATACTATACTCACTGCACATGTCAAGTAAAGTTTTCTTTAAATTGTAAAATATTTTAAAATTTACAAAACAACAACTTTTGGTTATCGGTTTTTAAGCACAGGCTCGAAATGATTTTGTGTATTCGTGTTTTTGTGTATCGGTCCTGTTTTTATATGTTTAGTATTTATTTAACCCTTGACGCAATGCAAATGGAGACTTTTCCTATTAAGTGTAACGAGACTATAGTTTAGTGTACCACTACGCACCTAATGATGGAGTTATCTCGGAAACAGCCGTAGTGAAGTATCACCTCTAATTGCGTAGACGGTAAAAACAAAATATATTATAATAATTTCATCCATTCTGCCACACTCAAGAATATGTAATACATGTCTAAGTCAACAACAACACTTGTCACATATATGTCTTAACCAATTGACTGAATAGAAGGAACCATTGCAAAGGATATTCCAGAAAACTTTAACTGATTATATCTTTACGGCTACATGCAAAACTAATTTTTGAATTGTTTCCTGGGTCATGTAACTGTTTTGATATTAGTAGTAAAGAGAAAAAACAAATTATATTTAAATAAGTGAAATATAAATAGTTAATAGTTATTTCAATGGAAAAATAAACTATAACCTTGACTTCACTTAATTCACAGATATGTCCTGTTTTAAAACAGAGAACAAAAACTGTTAGGACTAGTAGACCTATAAATTAATTAGGAGATTACTGTATATAATGTGGGTGTAGTATTGGGTAATTTGTTGATTGCTTGCTCCTGTACTTGGATCTGATGATGTCTTCTGCATTGTCATTGCTCAGACACAAGAGCCACCTCCAACTCCTGTCCCTCTCCAATTCTTAGGAGATTACTGTATATAATGCGGGTGTAGTAGGGAGCTGTGTTGATTGCCAAATCTTGTACTTAGTACTTGGATCTGACAATGTCTTGTGCATTGGCATCACTCAGACAAAAGAGCCACCTCCAACACTGTCCCTCTCCCAGTCTTACCTGATAAGGGATAGATTACTGAATATACTGTGGGTTGTATAGTATGGGGTCTTGTGTTGATTGCTCAGGTCCTGTACTTGGATCTGACTATGGCACCATAGTGAGCAACAGTGCTGCGAGGACTTCGTCCTTGCACAAACAGTCTTTGGGTGTATAATTGCAATGTAATTTGTGTATTTTGTACACAAAATTTAAAAGTAGTTCTTTTAAGAATTCACTTGTTACTGGCCTTAACAAAGTGCTGTCTTACACTTTTAGCAATTTTATGTAGTGTGTTTCACGTTTGTGGGACTGAAACAAACCGACCTAATCCGCAGATCAGCATCCCTACAACCAAGCGGCCCGCCCAGCAGTGGCTTCAAATTTCAGGCCCAAAACATGAACTCCATACAAGACAAACACTAATTATTTACAGTACATGATACAATAGATTAAAACTTCAGTATCCAATAGTCAAAGAATGAACCCTTAGTAGAATATTTTCATCCTTATGAATAAGCTGAAGACAATGTTTTTTTTTTATTTGAGTTATTTAAAATCTTATATAACCAAGTAAAACGATTTAATCGTACAATCCACGTCACCTGATGGCTTGGTAGCTGAGTGATTATATAGTGTAACTGCAACAACCAAAACGGTTGTCGCCGTTGTCGGTTCGATCATGAGAAAGGTAAGCAGCTTTTTGATGGTTTGAAACTGGACCCAGCTGTTGCTAATCATTGGGCTTTAACCTGGCTAATGAAACAGCTGATCTTAGTCAGCAGTAACAAAGCTACACGGATCATCACACTAATTGTATACACATTCATCACTCATATTTGGTTCAAAATATGCACCTAGGTGGCGTACCCATCTAAATTGGTAGCTGGTAATACATTTCAAGACAATATATTTTTGCCGTGGCCTAGTAGAATTGGCAACGTCGCAAGAGGGTTGTGTAGTGTCAGACGCCCCATAAGATAAAGACAGGTGATGACACCAGTTCATTAATTCGCACTTTATTGGCTTCAATTTAAATTTACGAATATAAATGATTCATTAAAATATTGAAAATATTAACACGGAATTGAAAACCAAAATTGAACATATATGTCTCTACATTTAAAAACAGAAAGCAGAGTCAATATTTTTATAGTCCAGTAACCAAGCTTTTGCAAATACATAAATACCATTAGCTGCTTCCAAATAAAACAGCTTTTACAACCCTACCTCCGACGCTGGCACTTCGAAGGCCGCGGCCTTCGAACGTCGCAAGTGGTGTTGTAACAGCTGTTTTGTTTGGAAGCAGCTAGTGGTATTTGGTATTTTTTAATAATATGAAAGCTTGTTTACTGGGCTATGAAAATATTTAATCTACTTTAAATATACAAAAATAAATTTTTAATTTAAATATTGTTTTGGTTTTCAATTCTATGTGTTTTATTTTCAATCTTTTAATAAATTTATGTCCATAAATTTAAATGAATAATACGAAAATTAATGAGCAGGTATCACCTGTCTGCCATGCTATCTTATGGGACGTCTGGCGCTATACAACGCACCACTTGCAACGTTGCCAATTCTACCAGGCCGCGGCCTGAAGGTGGCCGTGGCATAGGCAACGATATAGGCCCACCGATCCTCAGGACTTATGAGAACCCCCCCCCCCATAAAATCCCGTTACCATGGCCCTATCATGCTGGTTCGCTATCACATTCAAGGTTATTTTGCCTTGTGTTTACTTCTAATAACACTTGTAGTATATTATTTACACTTATACAGTTTGACTCACAAGACGTTAAATACATGTAATGGAATGGTAGTGATCAATTTCGATTGGGCACTCCAATCATTATCAGACCATAGCTAAAACATACTCCCTTAGTTTAGATTTCTTATCCTTATGGAACAGCTGAAGCCAATTTTATTGTTAGTTCCATCCGGTGCACTGAATTATGTCGCTTTTTGTTTACAATTTGTTTCTTGATTTTTCAGCAATTTTAAACATCGCAAAATAAAACTATCAAATCATAAACAATGACTCTTCCATTACTTAAAACCAAACCACTTGAAATCAACCATAAAATAATAGAAACAAAATTTCGTTTGCACTATCGCCAAGTGTCACCAACATGAACAAGACATGAAAACGAGCTTCAGATTTTACAATGGGATGAGAAGTATGTTTAAGTGTTCTTTAGTCTGGTTACATGTCCATGTCCACATTGCAAGTAGATGTCCCATACGTGAACTTACTCACTTAATCCATACCACGGCCGCCTTTAACTACAGGCCGCGGCCTGGTAGAATTGGCAATGTCGCAAGTGGTGTTGTTCAGTGACAGACGTCCCATAAGATAACATGGCAGACAGGTGACATCGGCTCATTAATTCGCACTTTATTTATTAAAATTAAAATTTATGAACATAAATTTATTAAAATATTGAAAATGAAACATGCAGAATTGAAAACCGAAACAATATGAATTAAAATCTATATCTGTACTTTTTAAACGGAGTCTATATTGTCATAGTCCAGTAACCAATCTTTCGTACATACACAAATACCATTAGCTACTTCCATACAAAAACAGCTGTTACAACACCACTTGCGACGTTGCCAGTTCGAAGGCCGCGGCCTGGAGTTAAAGGCGGCCGTGCCCATACACGAACTAGATGTACCATTGATTTTAAAAACTGCA